TTGCACCATGGAAGCCAGCCGAGAGATACATTTTCAATCTACATAGAGGCAACGTGTTGATGGATGAATCCGATGACAGCACCAATCCTGTTCAGTTCCACGGACTTCTCCTCTCCTGTCGTGTCATCTACCAAGAAACAGCTGTCCTGCTGTACTCAGCCAACAGTTTTGTCGCCTACTTGGAGGATGACTGTGACCGTCTGCTGGCCCTGACCACAACTGCAATCTCTTCACTCACTCATCTCAAGATTGTTGTCAACCAAAATTCCTGCCACCAGCAATGCACCCAGTGCATCAACTCCCGGATTGAGGATTCTAGTCTTTATTGCTACCACCAACCGACCCCCGAACCTTGCGATGAGGATGCTTCACAGGCAGCAGACCAACCACCGAATGGGCGCCTTTTGACCAGCTCAGATACAACAACCGAAAGCCTGTTTGAGAATTGGCGTTCAGCTATTGAGCATCTCTCTGCGAGTCTTTTGCCTGGTCGCCTCACATTATCCGTGGTTTGCGATGTCGCGCACGATGACCTCAAGGCTGGCAAGCTTGTTGTCGCCCCAATGGCTTTACTGCCACGACTTGATGACTGCCACATTAGGCTTAGCTGGAGGGCCAATGCAAAGCTTCAACAGCTTGCTCGCGACGCTGTTGAGCAGGCACGCTGCATTGCATTGCCAAAGTCCACTGCCCCTTCTTCTTCCTCGCCTCTTCTGCGTCTTCCACGTGAGCTGCGGTTGCGTATACTCGCATACACAGATCTTGTGACCCCAATTAGGGAGGTGTCATGGGATGGGGAAACTTACAAAGCTGATGGGTCTTCAAATTACCATTCGTGGCATCGCGCGGGCTTTGTCAATGAGACACTCGCTAGATGCCGAAGCGACCATCATTATGGGTGTCAATTCAAAAGCTGCTGGTCTCGAGGCTCAGCTGACCGCTACATTGGTTGTTTCTGTTCGGTTCGACACGCCGCCGTCTCATCAACATGCCGTTGTTGGTCACCACCGACGCCGCTCTTTCTTGTTTGTCGCAGTCTGTGTTACGAGGCTCAGCATGTGTTCTTTTCCTCGAATCGTTTCATAGTTCACGATCATGTCTACACTGATACCAACTCGGGAACTCGGATGCAATCTACATGGGGGTTGAGCACATATCCCCATGCCCGCCTCACAGCCAGCAAGTTCCTTCGAGACAAGGTTCCCGATAACTCTCTTGGATCGATCCGCTTTCTTGAGCTCACTTTCCCGGCTTACAGCCACGAGGCGTGGCCTGATCCGGATGGGCCGGCAATTAAAGAATGGATCGAGACCATCAAACATGTCAACGACAAACTCAACAAACCTGGCCTTACACTTCGTATCATCATGGCAGATGCTGCACACAGCGCACAAGAGACACAACGCACCATGACGGATGAGAACGGAGAGGTGGTCAAGCGTGCGTACACGAGTCTCATCGATCCGCTAAGATGTTTGGGTCAGGACTGCACAGGCGAGCCCTTGCACAGATTTTACGCCCATCTTCCAGACCCATTGGCGTGGACTGAAGCGAATGAAGCGTTGCTTGCTGAAGATCCATGTAAATACTTTCATGGGATCAACTTGAAAGAGCAAAAGCTACGTGAGGAGGCAGAGCGGTTAGTCTTGGGCGATGAGCGCTATGAGAAGCAGTGGGGCTTCGCCGGTGTAGACGTTGGGCACACTGGAGGAGGAGAGGGAAAGGATGACTATCATGACGATGGCAGAAGCGACAAAGATAACGACTACGCGATTAACGAGGCATCTGGTACGTTGTTGGCCAAGACGTTGGAGGAATGGGACGAGGATGAAAAAGAGCTAAAGGAGCCAAAGGGAAGCTACTGGTTATTCTTTCACCATCTTCTTCGATCGGGAGCTTTATAGGAAGCTAATAAACAAAAGGGCCTTAACTGAAAGTCTGCAACAAAGGATACCGATAGGATTTGGATAAGAGACTACAAAGGTACCGTGGATTTCCAGAATGGAATAGAAGTATAATTACTTTTAGCAGGTCCTTTTAATAGCTTACGACTAAGTACAAGCGTAAGTTGCAAATAAAAAAATAAATTGTAAAATAAATAAGAAAAAAAAGGAAAGTTAGATATATTATTTACGATATCTTTTTAGTTTTCTTAAGCCCTATCAGTAATTCTCCGATGGATTGTAGTACAATCCGTTGAAAAAGCGCACCAAAAAAAAAGGCCCCACTTTAGAAACAGGGGGTAGGATCCGTTAAAGAATTTAGTTGTACGATCCGATGAGATTTCTCCCGTCAAAATAAAATTTAAAGATAGTATTAGAATCGCCTGAACGAGCTGTATAGATGGTATAAGGTGTATTATCGTACGAGCGGTGTGGAATTATAATTAAAAAATATGAAGTTGGGTGTTCGTGTACTAGTAATATATATAGTTATTAAAGTGAGGTTAGGTAATGGAAAAGTAAGTTATACGATCCGATGGAATTTCTCTTATTAATAAAAAAAGTAAAGATACTATTAAAATTATTTAAATAAGCTATATAAAATAGTATAAGGTATATTATTGTACGAGCGGTATGGAATTATAAGTAATAGATATAAAGTTAGGTATAAGTATATTAGTAATGTACGTAGATAGTAAAGTGAGGTTGGGTAATAAAAAAGTAAATTATATAATCCGATAGGATTTTTCCTATTAATATAAAAAGTAAAAATACTATTAGAATTACCTAAACGAGCTATATAAAATAGTATAAAATATATTATTATACGAGCGGTATAGAATTATAATTAAAAAATATAAAGTTAGGTATTCTTATATTAGTAATATACGTAATTATTAAAGTAAGGTTGGGTAATAGAAAAGTAAGTTATACGATTTGATAGGATTTCTCTTATTAATATAAAAAGTAAACGATTACTATATAAAATTGCTTTAAAACGAGGTTATATTAGAAATAATATAAAAGTATATTATCGGTACGAAGTAATATAATAAGTATAAAATAGTAAAATATAAAGTTACGTATAAGTATATTTAGTAATATATATAAATAGTAAAGGTGAGGTTAGGTAATAGAAAATTAAATTATACGATCCGAACGTCTCTTGTCTATTAAAATAAAAAAGTAAAAGTACTATTAGTATTACTTAACGGAGCTATATAGAATAGTATAAAAGTATATTATTATACGAGCGGTGTGGAATTATAAATAAAAAATATTAAATTAATCGACTTTTATTATTGTACGACTTATTTAATTATCGGAATTATTAATAACTATAGGTTCTTAGCTCTCTTCCGCCGCTCTTTTATTTCCCTTGCTTTTTTCTTTGGCTTTAGTACCGCTTTGTTTAGCGGTATAAAAGCTATATTTATTACTATAATCCCTTTACTTATAGTTACTATAAGTATTACCCTAGTACCTATTTATCGTACGATAATCCTTAAACGGCCCTCTATTAGGCTTACTAGTATAGGTAGTATAGGGAGAGGTAGCCACTAAACTACGGCTCTAAATTAAGATTATATTTAGGTAGCTCGGACGAGCTAGTACTTTAGCCCCCTTTACTTTGCCGGAAACGTATTCGATATCGGCCGATAGTAGAGCCGAAATTACTTATTATATCTCCTATATATTTATTAGTTTAAATATTATTATACGGGAAAAATATATATTAATATTAATATAAAAGCTTTTTATTAGCTTTTTAATATAAAGCTAGCTAGTGTCAATAATTCGTACGAGCTACAGGTAATAAGGATAAAAGTTATTTTAAATATTTATTTAAAAGTTAATTGATTTATACGATTAAAAGTTTATTAGAAAAGGGCCTTATTTAAAATTAAACCTATATCTTTAGAAACTTTAAGACTATATATACCGCTTAGTTATTATGCTTTAAGATCTTTATATTACTTCTTAAGCGATAATATTTGTAAACGATAAATCTATAAACCCCGTATAAAAATTATATAATACTTTAATACTCTATTATATAACATTTATATTATTTTATTATACGATATTTATATTATATAATAATACGATAGGCTTACTATATAACTATCCGGGAACTAAATATCTATATCTTTTAATTAAACCTTATCGTACGGTACCTAGACGGCTTAATCGGAATAATAAGGCTCTGTTATATAGCTAGGCTGTCGAGGCATTTGGAAGAAAAGGCTTGCTTTAAAAGAAAAAGTCTGCTTTTATAGCCCTAGACCCCGGCAACCGCACGCCACTGCCTTCCTACCCAGGCACGCCCTGACCATTATACGGCACCCAGACGGCTTAATCAGAATAATAAAGCTTTATTATACAGCTAGCCTATCGAGGGATTTAGAAAAAAAGGCCTGCTTTAGAGGAAAAGGTTTACTTTTGCAAACCCAGACCCCGGCAACCGCACGCTACTACCCTTATTGTCACGGCTTAACACTTTAGTGGGGCGCGGGGCGCACCACGGGCCAATTATTAGTACAGGAGCGAGGACTAATTAGAGTAGGATTATTGGGATCGAGGATCGATCCAGAAGAGTCAATCCCAAAAGGGACAGTATCGATAGGATCGATAGTCGAGTTAATCGATCCAGGACAGTGCTAAGCTTAGCACAGGGTCTATATATACGGAGGAACTAGCTAGTGTAAATAGACAGTTCCGTAGTATATAATTTAAGCCTGTATTTACGGTATTTAGTATTTATATTAAAATATTTTATTATATATTATTTAGCTACACCGAACTAATTATTAAAAGTTACCTTTAATTAGTATCCCTTTTAGAGGTTTTATATAGGGGTTCGTTATACGTTATATACTTACTTTAACTTTATTACAGATAAATTAAAAGTATAAAACGCTATAGCCGGAAACGTTAGTATTTAAAGGATCCCGACCTAACCTACTATCGACTAGCTTCTCGCCCGTATTTAAAAGCTTAAAGATAAGTTACGCCTTTCCCACAACACCCTTACGCAAGAAAACGCTATACTTTACTAAGAAATTAGTACTTTACGCAGGGAGGGAAAGCGTATAAAGCTCGAGGCACTTAATCGCTATAGAGGTATAAAGGGAGAGCTAGGAAAATTCTTAATCTAACTTAAGGTTTACTTTCGGTACTACCCTTCTCGTTTTCCAAACGAAAAATCTAAGGTTATATACGCTACGTCCAGGCTTAAAAATATGGTACTTACGTAGTTCGAGCCGATTTTAGGAGATTACTTTAATAATACGTTTAATTAGAGGGAAGATATTACCTAAATATATTTTAAATTATATAAAGGCTTTAAAAAGAAGATTAAGGAGGTATTTAGGGAGTATAATAAAGGTAGGCGTGCCCAGGAGCGACTAACCAACCTTAAGCAAACTCGATCTACTACCGATTACGCTATAGTATTTAGGACAGACGTACTCCGTAGCATAATTAACGATAAACGGTTAATATAAACGTTCTACAACGGGCTTAAAGAAAAAGTTAAGGATAAGCTATATCGGATAGAACGACCGGAGACCATTAACGAGTATATCGCAATAGTAATCCGCATCGACGATCGATAATACTAGCGCCGTAAAAAGCGTAAAGGTATACGCATATAAGGACCCTACTACCCTAATAATAAAAGGAAAAGACGACCGTACGGTACTTACGTTTTAAGAACCACCTACGCAGGACTTATAGAAGTCGATACTATTTAGTAGTAAAGGCCGTAAGGTTAAGGCCAAAGTAAAGAGAACTTTAAGTATTTTAATTATAGTAAAGTAAAATACTTTAAAAAGGATTATAAGGCACCTAAGTAACTCGGTTAGAAAAGGGAAATCGTAATAACTACTATATTAATAGAACCGAAAGTAATAAAGGTTACAGCTATCGGATACTAGCTAAGTAGAGCAAAGAACCGCTACTAGGTATAGATACGAAAAAGTATTAAAGAAATAAGAGGTAGAAGATAGGAGGAAGCTAGGCGGGTATAGTTAAAAGACTTTATATTACTAAATAACCCGGAGTAAAAAAACGCTTTTAAACGATATAACCGCTTAAGAAATAATTTACGGCCCTTCGTAAGAGCCGGTAACCTTTAATGGACTACGAACGGTATTTTCGTAAATATTGGCGTAAAGCAAAAGTATAGGATAACGACCCGGTATTTACTAGCGAGGTCGCTACTATATAGAGAAAAAGTAAGAAAAATAAACGCCTCTAAGTTATAGCGTACTAAAAAGATATTTAGGCGGTAGTATTAGTAAACGGAGGTATAGAGATAAACTTAATTTCGCTATAGTTCGTATACTAGGCTAAGATACTATAGAAGAAAAAGAAGGAATGGATCGTTATATAAAGACTATTTCCGACGTAAAGAGTCTATAGAGAAATATTACCTTTAATTATTATAGTTAAAGGAAAGATAACTTTAATTATATTCGATATTATAAATATAGAACCCTCGAAAGATATAATTCTAAAGTAACTATAATATAAAAACTATAATTTAAATATCGATTAAAGGGATAATAATTACCTACGACCGAAAGAACCTTAAAAGTATTTAGTTAACGATAAAAGATTAAGAGTATATATAGAGTAGAGTGTAGGATAAACACCCTTTACGGTACTACCGTAAAGAGCTTAAGAAATAATAATATACTTTATCGATATAGGCGGTAAGATTGAAGAAATAGGGTTAATAACGTTAGTAGAGATATCGGAGGTTAATAAGTATATTTACTATAATAACGTAGAGAAAGGCGAGAAAAAAGCGGTACCGGTAGAATATTAAAGATACCTAGCCTTTACGGCTAAGTATTTAGAGAGGCTTTTAGAGCGAGGACCGTAAGATTATAAAATTAAGTTAAAAGAAGGAATTAAATTATAACTATTTAAGGTCTACTATATTAACGATAAGC